CCCCCCATAAGGTGCTGGTGCCCCCCATAAGGTGCTGGTACCCCCCTTGAGCCGCCCCCCCCCTAATAAAATCCTAGCTACACCACTGGTTTGGGAGAATAGGTACGTCTAGAAAAGTAAACCACCTACCTGTGAATATTTGGGGTTGATGCCGCTGATAGATCCATGGTAAATGTACACAGCGCCACTCGTTTCATCCTCGTATGGAGCACCGATGGCAACATCTGCACAGTCAAGAAAGTTCAGTTAGCGTCTATTAGAAGACTGCTGGTTGATTCTGCCTGGCACCCGGGCCGTAGCATGTGCACAGTGCTGCCGATGGGCAAAATCGGCCAGGGGGGGTTGAAAAATGGTTGCAGATCCAATCTGGCCTAATTAACGATCCTGATGATGCTACTGACCTTTCTAAGGCAACATGTTGACAGCTTGGCCTAAGTCCTTTTGATCTCAAATACGTGGTCACATGCTCACAGCAGACATAGCCATAACTCCAAAAGTTTGATTCCAACGTGACCTTAACACTTCCATCCATCAGCATTACTTTAAAATTGATTTTTTAAAAATCCTTCAAGTTCTTGAACTCTGGATGTAATACCGTGTACCATTTTCAAGCAAGTGGAGTGGTTCACTGTCATAGCATTTTACCCTAATTCTGATCTTCCTCTATCGATTACCTGGGTATCCATCTTTATTCAAGTCCCCTGGTATACTCTCAATCGCAAAGCCAAATCTTGCCCCTACAGCGTTGGACCCTCCAAGTTTGTGCCTCATCTCCAAATTGCCCTGGTTTGAAACAAAATAACGATATTAACGCAGCATTTATAACGCAAGCAGTATCTGACAAGACTTCTCGTTCAAGGGCATCGCTTAAGTTTCATTATCTGTACTTGTCAAGCTCTCCAAAATGCGAGACTTCCAGATACCGTTTCCTCTCCCAGGTGAGTACACAGCTCAGTGCAGCCATTCGTGGCACAAATGGCAAATCGCAATGAATAGTTTTACATTATTTACATTTAGATATTATTTACATATTTATATTCCAAGGTGGAGAAAGGCACATGAGGGTAAAGTGACTTGCCCTGCGTCATGATACATGTATGTAACAAACAGATGGATTTGAAGCCCCATCTTAAGCTCGAGAGCAACAAAAAACCCACGATCACGAAAAACACGTCATAAACGTTAGAACGACAAATGTCTTTGTTAGCATTTACTGGTTGCCAATTCAAGACTTTGTTGGGCGGATGGGGGCCTGGATATCATTCGAAACCATACAGCATTTGACTGGACAACATTTGTGACCCGCTCTGTGAAAATGAGTCATAAGTCACCACAGCCACTTTTTGAGTTTTCCTTTGTATTGAAAAGAGCAAGTTGAGTTTTTGGTTTGGATGTATCACTCAGTTTGTCCTCCTGATGAAAGTGGATACTCCATGGTGAGAAATGCTGTGGGTTCCTCTTGATTTACACCATGCAAACTATTCTGAAGGACGTTTTATACTCCAAAGTGACTCAGGCAACTTGTGACTCATTTTCACAGAGTGGGTCGCATTTGACATACGATGGCACTGCTCATGGTTGCTGGCAGTTACAAAAGTTTTCGAGACAACTTTGCCAAGACAAGCGGCGACACCAGGTGACAAACCACCCTTCTCATTTGAGTGAAACTCCAGGCAACATCTGAGATCACAAGGGCACTCACAAACTGATAAGAATGGTCCAAGCCGCTTTGGACCCAGGGCAAGACTTACCATTCCATCGTTGATATAGACATAGACGCGTCCCTCATCCTGACTAGAGGAATACAGCGGGGCACCAACCAACAGATCGGACCATCCGTCACCGTTCAGATCGGCTGCCTCCACGCTGGCCCCAAAGTACGAGTTCACCTGCGCAATATCAGATCATCCCCCGATTCAGCCATAAAATAACTGGCCCCGTATCTGGCTTCCGCTCACAAGTAAAATGTCTCTTATAAGAACTTTGAAGCTTTTCAAACAAGTCTCACGCAAGCACAACAAAGCATGTCAATATACGGATCAGAAGCACTGGCCAGTGGTCCCTGAATGCATCGACATCAACACGAGAGTAAATACCACGATTTTGGAGGACGAGAAATTGAAATGTTTTCATCTCATCATTTTTCCAAACCAAGAGCATGTACTCTTTTATGTTTGGGGCATTTGCCCCCCCCCCCAATTTTTTGGGGGGAGGGGGGAGGCTGGGGGTAAGAGGCAAGGTGGAGAAGAGGACAAGCCATTCACAGTCAAACAGGTGCTTTCAGGTAAAACTGGTGTCTTCCAGCTCATTTCCTCCTTTCTAGTGACTTTCACTTTGGCTCGTCTTTTTTTTTCCATTTTTTTTTTCACTTTTGACCGGAAGGGCGGGCCTCGATTGATCCCCCTTCAAGACGAATCCAGAGCCAAATATTTAGGAGGGTCAAACTTGTTATTTGAGGAGCCAAACAATCGGGGAGTTTTATTCAGGGGTAATTCCAGAAGTTAGGGGTCCATTTTATTCGAGTCCCAGTCACATCTGACATATGATGTTGCAAGTTCTGAACACATCTTCTAATTTCCCAGGGTGTTGAACTAATGCAAATTACCTGCCAAACAAATAGTAATAGTTTGAAATCAATTCCGGTGATATTTCCATGTCGAATAACAAAGATCACATGTAACAGGGACACAAAAATGTCACACTTTTGGACCCCTATTTCCTGGATTTACCCTCATACAACCTTTATGGCCTTTCTGAAGTCTGCGGCTACACTTTGGGGCTGCTTACCGCTCCTTTGGAAGAAAGGAAAATGAAATAGACCCCCCCCATTTTTGGGGGAGGCCCTGATCCCTGTTGGCTCATCTGGATCCACCCTTGCCCCCTAACCACCACCGCCCCCCATTACAAACACCCTCTAGTTCTTCTTACCGGTTCTCCAATGAATTGCCTCACCACGCTGGCTTGCTCCAAATCAAAGATGTAGACCGTACCAAGATCTCTGTATCTCGGACCGCCCGTCGCCCCCTCCAGAGCAGTAGGGCTGGAGAAATGGCCCGACGTCAGGGAGTAACCTGCCACAATCAAGGAAAGTTTCCTGTTATTAAGTCCCGATCATTTGATTGAGGAGGGGGTTGCCGAACACGTCACTGACTTTTCCTGTGTATTCAACAGTGCCACCATTAAATGTACCCCGTTAATTATACTGTTGAACTATGCATGTGTACAGCAAACAAATCTGCGGATCTTCACAGCCAAAGAATATTATGCTGGACCATACACCTGTTCAAGGAAGGCAAGGTTGCAACTCTTTAATGACGAAGACAAATGACATTTCAGTTGCCGCTCAGAGCAAAGCGGAAACATAATGTCGCTATTTCATGCCAAATTGAGAGAGTTAAGAGTCTTGTGCTAACAGAGGATTTATTTAGGTATTGTAGCAATAGCGTAGTGAACTTTTCACACTTTTCCAGCTTCACGTTGTGGAATAAAACATTTAATCTCATGAAATTATTCACTTGCATGTATAAAAGGATCCATGAGGATCCGATGAAAGAGGCTTACAATCAGAAATGGACCTGTAAGTGCCCAGAAGTGTTCTTACCATTGCATTTATCTCTATATTAATCTCGGAACTAAATTCTGGATCTGGCCTTGATTTTCAGTGTAAGGAAACGAGGCGAACTCACCTAGGTATGGATACTGGTGGTTAGGGATACGGTGATTCCAAATGCGCCCAATATGATTCATCTGATCTCCCTTGACAGTGATCACTGATCCTGTAATCAAGAAACAACACAGAGTTAAAGTTGAAGTCCAAAAAAGACGTGAATTTCTAAACACAGGACAAATTAAAAACTGTAAGACATACAAATTGTTATCAGTATTTAGACAGCTTTTGTCTACAAAAACTACCTGCACCGTCACATATGCTCTGCCATATCTAATCACTATTTGTCACTATTGTTTCACTTCTCATATGTACCCATGTGCCTCACTATCCAACACCACGGGGGTCAAGGGAACCAGTGGCACCCCACTCTTCCAACTGGAGGACGTCCCTCCCCCGTTTCTTGGAGGCCCCCGCGATGGGGCCGGGCTTAGCCCAGGTTGGACGTTGTCTTCATTTCATTATGACTGGTACGGTCAGGGAGTCCACCTGGGCTAGGGCCGGGCCTTAATGGATTGGCATGACAACAGTTACAAATGCCAGTAGTAATCCAAAATGGCAGCCTGAGATGAAAACCCTGTGTGTGAGGATAATTCCCAGTGCCAAACAAATACAGTGAAGGACCAATGCAGGTGAAAGAACAGCAGATGAAAAATCTATGACAGGCTATGCATTTTACACTGATGCAAATGGGCGCGTAAAGTATGTGCACTTTATAAGAATATGCAGCAAATGAGCACACTGCATGGGGACAAATTCTATGTCAATAAGGACGCACTCCTAAATGGGGTATATGGGGTCCCACCTGCACGGGCATCACTGGGATTGTTGTAGTCCAGACCATCACAAGACCAGACACAAGACCAGTCACAAGACCAGTCACGAGACCAGTCACGAGACCAGTCACAAGACCAGTCACAAGACATGACACAAGACCATGCACAGGACCATGCACAAAACCAGTTACAAGACAAGTCACGAGTAACAGGTTGAAAAATGACAAAGGAATGCTTTTGTTGCAGTTCATTTGAATAGCTTGTGACTTGAATTCAGACTGGAGGTCTTGTGTTGGTCTTGTGAAGGTCTCAAGTGGTCTTGACTACAACATTGGTCACCAGGATTGTTTCAAGGGAGAAGGACTTTTTCCAGGGAGAGGGGGGCACAAAGTACTCATCAGCAGCAAACTGATGAAACCTTTAACGGTGAAAGGGGTCACTTCCCAGGAATTTTCAAGCAAATTGCTGATTTTCATCCCTTTATTTCTCCCTTTTTCGCTTCTCTTAATTTTTTCCTTTTATCTACCATTTTTGTTTTGTTTTCCAGGGAGGAAACATAGTCCCCTTGCCCCTCTGGGTAACTGAACCGTTAGTTACAGTGTTAGTAACTCTCCCATCTATTCCGGAATGCCTCATACCATTTTTTTTAAATGCCCTGAAACATTCTAGAACCCCCACAATTTTCCGACCAACATTAGACACAACAGTTCAGATACTCAGATGCACCCCTCATCCGCAGAAATCTCTAATTTGTAAAAAAAATTCCCTCTTCAATTCCACCCACGGACTGATCTATACGCCTTCGCGATACCTCTAACACCATCTTACATAAATTCTAATGCCCTGTCCTACCCAGATTGTACATGGCCCCCGGGGCTCCCAGCATGAGCGTCTGCCCGTCGACGGCATACTCGGCACTGGCACCGGCTAGGCAACGCCACCAGTCGCTGCTTGGGTCTGCAAACAAGAAATAGACAAAATCCATCAGTTTCTTTCGATACTGATTGCACCTTCCACTCCAGCATGACAGGTGTATTACAGGTGTTGATGAGCAGCATGTAAACCACGCAACAATACTGTTACTCATGTTACTCAGGATACTACATCTTGATTACTCATGAGGCTTAGAAATGTTTCTCACACCATCCGATCTCCTTAGCAATGAAAGAACTTCATTTCATATGCAAATGGCCAATTCAAACGCAGTAATAAACACCCCTGACTTCGTAGCTACCCACGAAATCCGGCCATCAAGCCAGGGGAACCAAGTGCCTTACCCAAGGACTCTGAAGCAACTGCATGACTAGTAACACGCCCAGCACCAAACAGAATGAAACCAAGGCAGGTCTTTGCCACTGTTCATCCACTGTAATTTTGGTTGGTTTTTTTTTTAATTTCTGATCTTAACAGTGAATTGACTTGTGACAGACCCCAATCTCAACTTTGCAGAGTAATGGACCAACATCGCAACTTCTCAACAATCTAACTCATCACTACACATCAGTAATCATACCACTCATGGCATACTTAAGCAAGTTCCAAAAATTCCGCGCTTTCTCACAGTGAAGTGCTCATAACTCATGAAGACACGCTCATACTCACAGCAATTATTTGAATACAACACTGCTACATGCGCAAAACTCGACATCTGTCCCTAAGCCTCTTCAGACAGGTCAGTCAACCGCTGCTGAATTTAAATCGACCTGTAAATGTTTTCGTTTACCCAAAATACAAGGCCTCACGACTTCTACTGACTGCAGAGTGGAGTCCATGCTGTAGCAGATCCCCCTGGCATAGTACAGGATGGAATCCACACTGTTTGGGTAGCGGGTGGCGTGGTCCTGATTGATCCACCTGTGACCACAGACCTGGAAGAATGTCCGGAAGCAAATAAATCATTCAGGGTCCGGGGGAGGAGGGCAGAGCCTGAAGAGTTGATTTGTTGATGAGCTTTCTCTGATGCGAGGCTCAATAAGCCATTTGCGAGTTAAACTTGAATACAATCTGGTACACTGAGTTCTTTAAATTCACGTGAACATAAACTTGAATTTTCCATACTAAAACCACTGTTGCTATACCTCGTGATTTGGGGCAAGCGTTTGCTTAGTTACGTAAAAGATGCCTTGTAACAATACACTGTTCTCAACGGATAAGAACGGCACCAAGGAACCAGTCCAATCCAGAGATGGTGGTCGCCATGAAAAAGCTTGCCCTGAATAACGAGGTATAGCAGCAGTGTCTTTAGTCTGGGGAATTCCAATTGTTACGTTTCTATGCAATCAGATAACACAGTGTACCAGATTTTATTCAAATTTAACTCGCAAGTGGCTTATTCACTTCAGAAAGGAAGGCATGAGGCATGTAACGCAACCACAAGTACCTCCTGCATGAAAGCATGGCCCCTACGCAGTGACAGCTGGTAACCCCGGTCGAGTGAATACCAGCACCTGGACCAAAAAAGTGCACCCCTACACCGCTCGGTCAGTTCAAATGATGTCATCCTTTGTTATTACATAGCCCTGTGTACTCATGACGTCACACAGTGCTTACTGCAGTGCGTGGTGTGATAGAACAAAGGTCACCGATGTACTTAGCAACATACTCTGCTGTGATAAAGGGATATGAGTGCGATTATCTCCACTTCCCATAGCACATTTTTAGCAACCATCATATCACATTTCCACTGGATTATCACCCTCAGTAAAAAGTAAGATTCTATCTTCCACTTTCTTGCAATAGATGCTATTCACGTGGAGGCCATTTTTGATCTTATTCCCCAAGTCTGTTTCTTTTGTTGAAAACTGCCGATTAGGACGGCACCAGACTGTTTTATATTTCCGTGCGTTCCGAGCCTCCCTTTCAAAAATTTTCGGAATCTGGCAGTGTACAATTCCATGTGTTCAATCATGAATTTGAAATAATTCATCGGAGTAGACAGGAGGACATTAGTCATGAAATTTCATTTCATTGCTTCATTTTTACTCTCAACATCCAAAAATGAAGAGTTAACCTCGCTTTCAAATTCAATATGGCCGGCCCCATGAATAAAGTCTATTGAATGTAACTCGTGCATCTGCTATTTCCCCTACTCGTGGTATATGACGGCCCCCCATCCTATCGCTGCAGTAAACACTGACACATCATCAGTGCAACAGGCTCCTCAAGACCAACGCCCGCCCCCTTGTTTTTTCTTAAACCAACCTTGTGTCAACGATTAATCACCAAATACTTGTCAAGCATTCCAGAGAGAATAGAGTGTTTTGGTTTTTTTTTTCATCAGAAACTTACGACGACTTTTCCATTTGGTCCCGGTTTCCTGGTGAGAGCCACACCCAGAAACTGCCCATCCTTTTTATCTTCGACCCTTCGATGCGATACATCGTATATCTCATTACCTGTGGGGGAGATTTTTCTACGGTCAAGGCTTCTGCCACGGTAAGGCGAGGCTATAGGGAATTGTCAAAGATCACAAACTTTGGTCGGCCAAGTCACAGATTAGGGTCAACTGCAGTGTTGTATTCAAGCCCATCACAAGTCCAGTCAAAAATCCTTTCACAAGTCCAGTCAAAAATCCTTTCACAAGTCCAGTCACAAGTCCCTTCAAAAATCCCTACACAAGTCCCTACACAAGTCCAGTCACAAGTCCC